GCATCACTTTATATCCCATCATAATAAATGAAAGGTATGTAAAAGGCCGTCAATACCTAATATATGTATTTTTCTGCTTTAGTTAAACAAAAAACTAACCAAAATGTATTTTTTTAGTTAAAACTTGCGTTTGTTAGGTATGAATAACTTTTCATAGGAAAAACCGCTGAGATATATTGCGGGCGTATGTCCTAAATTTCTGGCCATGGGTTAATTCTGCCCCCAATGGGATTTTCGTTCGATATACGAGTTCTCTATATGGAGTGTGTCTCTGGGGTCATAGCGCACTGTTGGTTAAAGATTTTTCATTTGTAAAAATCTTTTCCGGAGTGGAGTTCGCACGGTCTGAATTAGGTGGACTTGCAACGAGACAATGAAAAACGACAACCATATATCGTCCTAATATTTCGGCCGACAACCACATTAGTGCATGATTTTCGATCATTCAGACCGTTAAAGCAATCGTCGACTGCGCACGCAAACATCAGGAAGAAAGCAATGTAAAGCGGTGTAACTTAAAGCTGCTGGATCAGCAGCGACGGAAATTTGAATGGTGATCCGGTTGAAATACGCAAACGCAGAGCTTTCAGATTCGTATGGCACTTAACCTTCAATTTATTTTGATTCTGAAGAAACATAGATTGTGTTATAACTTTAGAATGAAATTTGTTGAAGTTACATGCGCGCAAGAACGACATTTATAAAATGTTTGTTCTTTAAAAGGATTAAATGGGAGCAGACCGACATTTTTTACATAACTGACGTTGCGCGCTTCCTCCCATTTAAGCCTTCAAAATTATGGCGATTCTTCCGACGTGTTTTTTTTTTCCGAATTGCGGAGGTATGTATATTTATATTTTAATCAAGGGTAGTTTGTAAATAGATGGGGGCCCATTCGGACTTAAGTGCCCATTTCGGACATTCGGTATGTTTCAAATTTAAAACGATCAAAATTCGGACAATTTCAGTTGGAGGGTTTTTCTCCGGGCGCTTCGGTTTCCCTCCTTTTCGTTTGACTTTAAAAAACAGTGTCCATGTCAGGGGCCAAACTAAGATGACTTTCTTGAGTATAATGTGTACTGTTGATTCAGTAATACATCCTTTTGTAATATGTTTCTCATTAATTAATGCAAACAGAAAGACATTCCCAACTTAACCTTATTCCACAAGATTGTTGTATGCTTGGCCTCTGGGTTAAATTCCCAGAACACTGCTATAACTCAAAAATATCGTTATAATAAATAACTTTCTGAACCTGTAAGAAACCATTTTTATACTAATTGACTTCATTGTAAATATATATATCAGTACTATATTCTATATTGTACTTTGTAATTGTAATTTTCTAATAGTTTTTGTGAGGGCCACATAACTAACCAGTATGAATATTTTGACGTCATAACTAACATGTATATAATAGTTTTGACGTCTTTAACTAACCAGTATGATTGTTTTGCAGTCCTCGTACCAGCCTAGGTAGTGGTAAACCGTACATAAATGTTTATGGAAACCTGGAGCGACATGATTCACGTCATAGTTCGTATGATCATTTCTCTGATTCTGAGCAACAGTTACCGGAACCCGAGGTTCCTACTGGAAGATCACATCCAGTGGACATGGATAATGACGAAAGTAACCTGGACAGTTATCTCGTGTAATACCGATGGTGTTTTACAACCTGATGCAACATCCAGTTATATATACTGCGACCTTCTAATTGCCGTACAGATTGAGAACAAAACAAGGATATATTAATTAAAGGACAAAAGTGCTATAGCGATGTAGTTGCAAAGTAGCATTGTTTCATTCATAAAGGCTCTTTTCCACTCGTCACAAAAACTTACAAGCCCGCTGTGAGTGCTTGCATCTAAGTGATCGAGGATTGTGATTGGATGAATGCACTCGAGTTTATAAGTTGGTTAATGCGATCAATGGAAAAAGAGGCTTAAAGCTCCGAAGAAAAAGGAAACACTGTTGCGATAAGATCAGAAAATGTTTTTTCGAATGTGTTCTGTCTGTCCTCCCTTGCAAACAATGTGTGCCTTGGCTACATAGTTGGCATGTTTCCGTAACAGTGATTCCTAGTTTGCCAAGGGTTTCAACACAACAATGCCATATACTAAAGGAGTTTTAAGCATATTTTCAGAATAATACGGTTGATATTCTGACCAAAATAGGTATTATATTCTATGAGGATTTTACTCAGCGAGATTCTTAAAGAAATTTACATATTTTGTACATTGCCTTTTGAGGAGTGATTTTTGAGATTGTAAAATGTAGTTAATTTGTTTGTATCTTTTACAGCAAGTACGAATGTAATATTAATGTTCTAGTGCAACCCACGGTGACCTACCTTTTTTATTGCCCAAAATACATTAAGTTCTTTGTACATTTGCATGGCGATAAAACATATAATAGTTTTCTTTGTGGAAACACCACGTAAATTTACGTGGTGTTTCCACAAACAATAGTATTATAGAAAATACATTGTTATGAAGTTTCGAATCTTTTTTGAATGTTGTTTGAAAATCGCCTGCGTAGTTTTCGAGAAATAAAAAGGTAGGTCACCGTGGTTATTTGTCCACTAAGACGACGACTTTTTTGGTTGATATCATAGGTTGATATACATGTAGTCCATATAGATGGTAACGTCATGTTGTCATGGCAACATGAAGAGTAGCGATTGTGGGTTAAATTTTTTTATAGAACAGAAAACAATGGCTTATGCAAATTTTTTTTTTTTAGATTCAAATAGCTTTTAGTTTAAAACACTGATACATATTGGAAACTGTAGGGAGCCTCCTTAAGGAATGTGTGCACAAGGTTTCGTTGCAATAGACCAGCAGGAAATATTTTTTCAACTTTTTTCACTGAATTTAATATTGAGTTGGGGGCCCACGCCATGCATAGTTTAAAGAATGTCACATAAGCCTTAGATTTTTCTGTGAACTAATGAAAATCACGCTAGCTGATTCTAATGGATTACAATTTTGTCATCCGGAATCGATTGTCGGGGCTTAAAATCCACATCGGAAAGCTCTGGTGGCTCGGACGCTCGAGCAGTTCCCGCAATCTGGCTTACGGATCGAAAGCTTTAAATAATAAATTTACGTGGTGTTTCCACAAGCAAAAAATATTATAAGTCCTCTTGTTTTTCGTAACCGCATGTCATTTAGCAAATAAAGAGATCTTTACCAGAGGAATCTAAATTAGCATGGTTTATCCGGGTATGCGAGAAGAATTTGCAATTGTTTGCAATTGTTTGCAATTTCACCAACGAGGGTTACTGTATGCGGCATAAACTGTATTATTTTGGTAGATGTGCTTTCATCTAATGATTGGTCATACAGGGTGTCTAAAAAAAACGCTATGGAAATTCAACCGGCTGTCGTGCATCATAAACGTGGCTAAACAATTAAATTTTTACATACGACGTTATTTAGCTTTTCAATGATACTCTTTTTAAATCGCAACGATGAGAAATGGCCACATACTCGTCAAATAAAAATTGCCGGTCGAAATCACATTCTTCCACCGTTGACAATTGCATGGAAAACGAACCATAGACAATTCCCAAGAGGGAATTAAAATTGAATGTTAAATAGACCTTTCCCCTTATAACCAAAATTTTGATCTAGGCAAGTCTAGACAAATATTTCATCACAGCTTGAAAGAGCATCACAGAATTAGTAATATTCCAAAGTTTCGTTGCGAAATGTTGTAAAATGAGGAAAATAGAGCCTTGCGAAGTTTGCAATTTTCAGTCATTTTGCATTACAAACGGGAAATTGCAGCCCCAACACCCGAATCGTATGTCAATTTCTCGTTTGTAATACAAAATGACTGAAAAACGGCAAACTTCGCAAGGCTATATTATCCGCATTTTACAAGATTTTGCAACAAAACTTTGGAATATTACTAATTTTGTGATGCTCTTTCAAGCTGTGATGAAATTTTTGTCTAGATCAAAATTTTAGTTATAAGGGGAAAGGTCCATTATCTAAAATGAGCTCAACTCGTCGATCTTCGTCTTAGTGAGACAATAACCCAATAAGAACGTCCATAAAACATGGTTCAATTAACCCCTGAACAGAGAAGATTCGTAATTAAAACGTTTTACGAAACAAATAGCTTGCAGGTTGCTTGCAGCAGGCTCGCGTTGCTTTTGGATTGACTAACTTTGCATAATTAATTATTTTCAATTCCCAACGGTGGAAGAATGTGATCTCGACCGGTGTCCCAGTTGATTTGGACCCCCGTAGATTTGGACCCCCGGGGGTCCATATCCACTAGTA